ACTAAAATACAAATAATCCCATTTACCATTGCAACAACAAAATTAAGATACTTAGGAAAAACTTAACCCAGGAGGTAAAACACCTGTACTCAGAAAACTACAGGATGTTGAAAAAAAAGATAGAGGAAGATATAAATAAATGGAAGAATAAACCATATCATTGGATTGGTAAAATCAACATCATTAAAATGTCCATACTACCCAATGCAATCTACAGATTTGATGCAATCCCTGTTTCAATACCAATGGCATATTTCACAGACCAAGAAAAAACATTCCAAAAATTTATATGGAACCCAAAAAGACCCTGAGTAGCTGAAGCAATCTTGAGAAGGAAGAACAAAGTTGGAGGGATCATAATGCCAGATATCAGGTTATACTACAAAGCCACTGTAATCAAAACAGACTGATATGGGCACAAGAACAGACGTATAGACAATGGAACAGAACAGAGAACCCAGAAATTGACCCAAGCCATTACACTCAATATTTGACAAAGGAGGCAAGAGCATACAATGAAGTTCAGACAGTCTCTTCGATAAATGGTGTTGGAAAAATTGGATAGATACATGCAAAGAAATGAAACTAGACCACCAACTTACATGATACACAAGAATAAACTCAAAATGAGTAAAAGATTTAAATGTAAGCCATGAAACTATAAAAATTTTGGAAGAAACTATAGGCAGCTAAATCTCAGACATTTCTTGTAGCAATATGTTTGACTATACTTCTCCTAGGACAAGGGAACCTAAAGAGAAATTAATGGGGTTATCTATACTAATAAAAGCCTAGGTAGCCCTTGCGCACAACATCATCACATGCTGCCACGAGATGGCCACAACAAGATGGCCATGCGCACAGTGAAGGTGGGGCACAGTGGCCACTCCATGCGATGAGACCGGGGATCCCGCAGCTCCACACGGCATGGAGGAGGCCGGTCCCTGTGTCTCTGCTGCCTTGTGTGGAGGAAGCAGGTTCCTGTGTAGGAGGCGGATTGTGGCAGGGGAGTGTAGTTGGGGGCAATCAGGCTAGCAGGGGAGGAAAGTTGGGGGAGATCAGGATGGCAGGGGAGGGCAGTTGGGGTGATTGGGCTGGCAGGGGAGTGGTTGGGGGAGATCAAGTGGCAGGCAGGCAAGCAGTTAGGAGCCAGCCATCCCAGATTGTGAGAGGGATGTCTGACTGCCCTGGATCAGGCCTAAACCAGCAGTCGGACATCCCCCAAGGGGTCCAAGATTGGAGAGGGTGCAGACCGGGCTGAGGGACATTCCCTCTGCCCCCTGTGCATGAATTTTGTGCACCAGGCCACTAGTATCAAAATAAAAAGCATCTGCACAGAAAGAAAAAAAAAACAATAAAATGAAGAGAGTCCACGGCATGGAAGAACATATTTGGCAATGAGACATCTCATAAGGGGTTAATTTCCAAAATATATAAGGAATTTATACAACTTAACAAAAGGAAGACAAACAATCCAATTAAAAATTGGGCAAAGGACCTAAATTGACAGCTCTCTAAAGTGGATATACAGATGGCCAAATGACATATCAAAAAATGTTCAGTCACTAATCATCAGAGATATGCAAATTAAAATGACAGTGAGGTACCACCTCACACCTGTCAGAATGGCTATCATAAACAAATCACAAGTGTTGGAGAGGATGTGGGGAAAAAGGAACCTAGTACACTGCTGGTGGGAATGCAGACTGGGGGAGCCATTTTGGAAAACATTATATTTTTCTCAAAATTTTAAAAATGGAACTGCCATTTGACCCAGTGATCCCACTTCTAGGAATATATCCTAAGAAATCTGAAGCACCAATCAGAAAGAATGTACACATCCCTATGTTCATAGTAGCACAATTTACAATAGCTAAGATCTGGAAACAGTCTAAGTGCCCATCAGCAGATGAGTGGACAAAGAAGCTGTGGTACAGCTACACCATGGAATACTATGCAGCTGTAAAAAAGAGGGATCTCTTACCCTTTGAGACAGCATGGATGGACCTGGAGAGGATTATGCTAAGCAAAATAAACCAGTCAGAGAAAGACAAGTACCACATGATCTCACTCATAATCTGAATCTAATGAACAAAATAAACTGTTGAACAAAATAGACCCAAAGACATGGAACAGACTGATGAATCTCAAAGGGAAGGGGGGGCGGTTATGGGAAGATTTTAACCTGGGATTTATCCTATATAATAAAAGGCTACTATGCAAATAGACCAAATGGCAGAACAATCAAACAACCCAACAACTGGTCACTATGACATGCGCTGGCCACCAGGGGGTGTGCACTGAATATGACAGGCATTGGCAGCCGTGGGGCAACAGTCGTCATCGGGGCAAACCTCTGGTGGTTACTGAAAATTCTTTGCTCCTGCACACCGCGGCCCCGCTCGGTGCTTGCTTCTGCTGCTGGCGCTTGGCACTAGCCCCGATCACTTGGTGCCATCAGTGGATGTGAGCAGTGGCTGCCAGCCCCGATCGCCCCTTAGAGCTTTTTCACCTCCCCCTGCTCCTGAGGGGTGGTCGAGGCCAGCAGCCACCTCTCATACCCACTGCCGGCATTGGGTCCACTCACACCCGCTGCTGATGTCAGCCACAATCGCTTCATGCCATCATCTGGTGCAAGCGGGGCTAGCACCAAGTTTGCGAGCGGGGTCAGTGCTGTCAACACATGGGAGCGGTGGCAGTGGGAGCGGGGCTGCTGGCAGACAGAGGACTGGGGGCTGTGGCGGGAGGGGCCAGGTGGGGTGTGGAGGGTGGGCTGAGACTTGCCCCTGTGCCCACTGCAGTCTCGTGGCCCACAGTTCCTTTTAAGGTACATGAATTCGTGCACTGGGCCCCTAGTATGTGTATATTCATGGCCCATGGACACTGACAATAGTGTAGTGAAGGCCTGGAAGGGGCGGGTGCTGGGTGGAGGGGGTCAATGGGGAATAAGAGAGGGACATCAGTAATACTTTGATAATAAAGAATAATTTAAAAAATAAATATCCACCTTCCCAAAATGACATATGAATGACCATCAGGAGCATGGAAAAGGCTCAGCATCATTTGTCATCAGAGAACTGCAAATTAAACCACGAGATTCCTTAGCACCCACTATATCAGACAACGGAAGCCTGACAATGCCAGTCACTGGTGAGGAGTGGAGCCACAGAAGTCTCCATGTAACTACAGGGGATGGAAAACTTACAATTAGTTTGCAAAACAATTTGTCAGTTTTTTTAAATGTTAAATATATACCTATGATCTCTCCTAGGAATTGAACCAAAAAAATTTGTCCACAAGAATGTTCACAGTAGCCATATTCATAATAGCTATAAAGGGGAAAGGCCTGCATGTCCGTGAGCAGGGAAATGGTTAGGAAACTGCTGTGCAGCCGTGCAGCGGAAACCAACTCAGTCACACGAAGGAACAAACTGCACACACATGCAAAGCATGGAGGAACCCGGAAACATGACGGTCATTGTGTGGAAGTCAGGAGTCACAATGATGTCTGACTTTACTGATATGAATATCAAGATCTGACAAATCTCATCATGGAGATAGGAATCAGAACAGTGCTTGTCTCCAAGGCAGGAGGGGAGTGTGTAAGGCAATGAAAACATTTCTCTCTTGTTTTGGGTGATAACTCATATAGCTTAGGATCTACATTTCACTGTATGCAAATTTAACTGTGTGTTTCTATTCACGGGAATTTTCAGCATCACCCTATGGGAGACACTCACAGGTGAGGCAGGATTCACGGGATGCATACTCCCGGGTGTGGGCGGGGCAGCACCTGCTCCTGGCAGTGCAGGTGAGAACAGGTGAGGACAGGGCTGTGTGCTGGTCAGAGGTTCTCTGACGTCTCTGTGTGTGTGCAGCTTGACCACCAGCCACTGGAGCTGAGAAAGCCCTCGGGGCTCTTCTCCACCCTCACAGGCTTCAGTCGCAGGCACTGGGCCCAGAGCGCCCAGGTGGCCTGGGGATGGTGTGTAGGTTCAGGGAAAGGAACGACGGGGAGAAGAGCGCAGTTTCCCTGAGACCAGCCTGCCTGGCCTCTCTGAAGTGTTTTCCTCTCCCTCGCAAGTTCCCACAGTGGGTGCTAAACCCCATCAGATAAAACTACACACTATGAAATCTTAGCTATATAAATGGTACGTTTAAGTATGAATTCATTTTTAAAAGCAAATACATAATTTTAGGATGATAGATCTATGAATTATTTTTATTTATTTTCTTCTTTTATACTTACTGTTCTATAATTTTTACAGTGAGAAAATTATTTCTATAGACAACAGCAATACATGAAAGAAATTATATTTATTTATTTAATATGTTTTTATTGATTTCAGAGAAGAAGGGAGTGGGTCAGAGAGATAGAAACATCAATGAGAGAGAATCATTGATTGGTTGCTTCCTGCATGGCCCCTACTGGGGATCGAGCCCACAACCCAGGCATGTGCCCTTGACTGGAATCGAACCCGGGACCCTTCAGTCCACAGGCAGATGCTCTATCCACTGAGACAAATCAGCCAGGGGTATGAAAGAAATTTTAGAACTGAAAATAATTTGATTATAATAGCAATTGGGTAAGATATTACAATACATTAGGCAATGATAAAACTAAGCTTTGATAAAATAAAATATAATAAATTCTGGCATATGGGGTCAAGATTTACTACCAACATTCTACACAAGGGAATCTGAATGTTCTTCCAGCTTATATAAAAATTTAACTCTAAAACTGAGTTTGATGTTCAAATGCAGGAAATTGACGAGGATGAAGGAGAGGGCAAACAAAGAGAGATGAAGAGGAAGGGCACAGTGAAAAGACCGCAGGCAAGGATGGAGAAAGACCAGCAAAGGAAGGAGCG